GACAGACAGCTGTATTACTAATTTACAGCCCCCTTCTAGTAAATCCATCAATATATGTTCATCAACGTTTAGAACCAGTAATTTCTATATTTTTAGTTCCTTTCAGTTTTATGTATATCAGCCTGTAATAGAAGTCATTAGAACACCTACCAGTATTTATTTAAGCATATGCTAAATTTAAACATGCAATAAAATGTGTTTGGAGTAAAAAACACATGCATAATTAAAACAGGGCTTTAATTTTTCAATAACATTTTAAAATAGTAATGGTTGAATGAAAAAGATTTGGAAAAATAGCTTTGATTCCAAATGCTTAAAAAGCCTGTGACTTAACACTGCCTGAAAGGAGCATCTAAATGTGTATATTCAAGAGTGGACAGGAAGTGTATTGGAAAACAACAAAAATGCATGTACATATAATAGATTGTTCACTCATACAAACCCCAAAATCAGTGTGTTAGAATAGATTGAGAAGCGCAAATTAACAAGGTATACCAGGAACTAGAAGCCAGATACCATAATGGTGATTAAAAGGAAGCTTCTATCAAAGCTACCAACAAGGGCTTCAAACCTCAAACAACAGTTATTACATTGAAAATAGATAAGATCCTGACAGAAGAAAGAAAATGAAAGCTGTGAGGAACTAAATGAGAATAAAGATTTGTTAATTGATATTGACTGGCAAGTTTAAAGAAAACAAGAAGCAGAAATGAGAAACAACACTCACAATAAAAAGGATGAAGAATACAGAAGGTTTTAGAAGGGAATAGATGAGTGGACAGAATTAGGGATTAAAAAATAAGTAACTGAGACACCTAGTTTATCATGACAAACCCTTAAAAAAAAAGTGATTGATTGAAGTATAGAATATTACTTATGCTAGATTGTACTTATAGTATGTCACTAAGTTTACTTTGCTTTGTCACTTGAGTGCATATTATACAATTAAGCTCATGAAAAGAAAGATTGTGGTCTCATGGCCAGAGGAAGAAACTGTAAGCCAGGACAAATGGGTTCTCCTTACAGCCATATACTATACTAACTCGCTGTGCTGTTATCTTTGTATCATAGTTTAAAAGGTGTAATGCTACTTACCACACAGTGGGCACATCTACACATGCAATTAGTTTGCCTCAGACTCTGGCACAGTTTGCACTGGAATCAGCTGCTCCTGGGCACAGTGTCTTCACGTGTACCCGGAAATACAGCAGTTTGAACCAGGGTGGAGCAGCTCCGGTCTGGCAGTAGGCTCAGGGGGTGAGACTCGGGCTCTGGGTGGTGGTGTCAGGTGGCGGAGGGGATGGCTTGGGCAGAGTGCCTGAAGTGTAGAGCTGTATGGTTGACCCCCCAAGCCTGCTGCCAGCCTGGAGGTGCTTTGCCACCGTTCAAACTACTGCAGTTCCCACATGCTTTCTGTGCTGTAAATTACTCCACTGTAAGATAGTACTTTCCCTGACAGTACTATCTTATGGCAGAGTTAATTAATTTACTGAGCCTAATGCTGGTGCATTAATAGATGACGATACTTTACTGTGGAGATTAGTCACCTCTGCAGTAAAGCACACATGTAGACACACCCAGTATGTATTGTATATCTTAACCAACATTATTAAAAAGGTTTATTAAAGAGTTTCAGGAAAAAAAATGCAATTTCTATGCAAAGTATTACAACATTCCTTTTACCAAGCACCATATTCTGTACACAGTTCCACAATAAATAAGCCTGAAACCTAATTTTTCAGTTTCAATAGTTTCATCTATGTCTTTAAAGTGAACAAATTTTGGGGAACAAAATCTGGGAAACCATCTCAGATGTTCCACATACCTAGAAATAACTTGCACTACTCCTGGTTCTGGATATCGTGGCTGCTACAGTGCAATGTTTTGAACATGCTATTAAACCTGCCCATGCCTACCTCCTGAACTGGAATCAAAATAAACACATTTGTGTGTCAGTGGGTGTGTCTACACATGTATTTACATGTGCACCATTGCTCAAGGCCATTTAAGTGCGCATCTACATATGGATGTGCATCAAAAGGATTAAATTTAGGCACAAATAGCTATGTCGCATTAGCACACATGCAGGCATGCTAATGCACATTAACACAGTGCGTATCTATTGACGCACATTACATTAATATGCATTAGTGTGTCTACACATTTCCTAATGAAACTTAGCTATTTGTACCTACATTCAATACTTGCTTTATGCAAGTATCAAATTTAGGCTTGAATAGCCTAAAATTGCTATTTTTAAAGTATATTAATGGTATGCACATGTAGACATGCTCCCTTCATGAGTGTTAAATTGGGCTAATATGCATTAAATGTGCATGAGTAGATACACCCAGTGAGACCAGGCTAATTGGCTCTCCCTCTCAATACAATTCATTAGAATAGGCAACCACAGAAACCCTTGCCTTTCATACATTTTCTGATCAGGGCTACAACACCCCAACTCTTAATTAGAATGGTCATTCACGGGGCACTGAGAAGCAGGACTAATTAGCTGGCCTGAGTGTGTAGGCCCACATACATGAAACTATTCTTCTGGTTCATGAAACTGCAATCCCAATCCAGAAGTAACATAGTCACGTTCACATGTTAATAGGTATCATTGTCCTGTAAGCAAATACAACAACAGGACCAGGGACAGGATTTATACCGTCGGCCTTTAGTTTAAAATTTTGTCCTTAAGCCCTGACCTTTTAAAATCACACACAAAGATTCCTTATCTGGAATTTATAACTTATTAATCAGCTCTATTAGTTACAGCTGCTATTCAGTTTCTTAGTTGCTAATGCAGTGGGCCACCAATCAACTCAGGGCCTGGTACAGTTTTTCATTGTGCACTATCACTGCTAAGCAGGACTGGTATTGATCCTGGAACAATGTTTCCATTTTTAGGAATAAAGTTCTATTTCAGGAAGTCCTCAGCCACACATACCCACTGAAGCATTTGAGAATATCTCAGAAAATCCAGTAGTACAATTAGGGTGCTATTGAAGCCATCATGGTTCAGGAAATATGCAAAAAACAAGGCTTCACTTCACATTGCTTTGTGATATCTTTTATTGGATTATCTGTATAGTTGGGAAAGATGTTAGGCAATCTCTTGGGCACAAAGTGCCCCTTCAGGGTAGATGGTTGCTTTTTGTATCTGGAATTCATGAATGTAGCCCAACTAAAATGTAACATTATTCAATTTTCCTTCAAAAAATTCAACAGAATTTTACATTAATTTTGACAGAATTTAAAGGGTTAGAAGCAGCATAAAGTGGACCATCTCCCTTTTGTCACTTACCATGACAGACTTATCTATTCTGAATAAACCAAACTGACGTTCACAAGGAATGCAGTCATGAAAACAAATGAGTTTCAAATAAGCAATCGCACAGACTAATGCTGTGGCTTCAACATGATCCTGATCTTTAAAACCAAAGTGTTAATTAAATAAAAAGTAATAACATCTCAACAAGGCATCATGCATTTGAAATGATAGCACTAGAACGCCCTTGGAGTAATAGCAGCAAAACGTCCATCATGTTTATGTAAGTGAAGTTTATGCCTTGCTAAGTGCTTCTTAATATTGCATAGTTGGTGTTTTGTTTACAAGGTTATAAAAATTGACAGGCTCTTACTGTTAAAACTATTAATGGGAAGGGTATGGTGTGTCATGGCTTGGATTCCCAGTTTACCCCTTTTATTTGGATCTAAAAATTTAGTGGCATTTTAATATACACTTCTGAGTAACATTCTACTGAGAGAAAAACAAATCAAAAGCAACTGGTTAATAAAATTTTTAAAACAAAATCTGCTAGTGGAATATTTGCTTCAGCTAAGGCTGCCTTTCTTTAAAATCTTTACACCAGAACAGACCCTTCAGTTAAACTCCAAAAGAAGGGTTTAGTCAAGACTTTCAAATAGCCCTGCAGCTAGGGATCATTTTTTATGATTGTTACTTACCTGTGCTATAACCACAAAAGACCTGGAAGGGGTTGAAAATGTCTTGCTCTTTATGTACTTATTTGGAAACACATGCCTGAAGGACAGTTCTAGCTAAAAGTTTCCAATGAGTGCATTGGCTATGCCCACGCATGAAATCTTCAGTGCGGATTTTGGGTGAAGACTTGAAAGAAAATTTATCCTTGTAGATAACTGTGTCAGGGGTTCTGCCATGACAGCCTGTAACCATCCTACTTCCTTGTCAATGCTATCACTACCAAAAAACCTGATTTTGCAGGTAAGTGCACAAGACAGCAAGTAGCCAATGGCTCAAAATGGAGGGTACATGAGGTCTTGTGGAAATTAAGTTAAGGTCCCAGGGAGTGATTAATTTTCATATTGATAGGTAAACCTTCAAACACCCTGTTAGAAATGTCCCAACAAGGGGGGCCTGAAGAAAAACAATTGCTCTTTCACAAAAGGGTGGATTGGTGTAAAAACTGCTTTTATTTATCTTGCCAAGAGGCCTGTTTGTTTAGTTACAACTGGTATCCCAGAATACCTTGAAGATGTGATCCAGATAGAGAATCTTTTCCACTTCACAAGGGAAGTTCTTTTATGTCAACCTTTTCTATTGCTAAGGATATTATAAACATTTTAGAAGTCCCCACTGGATTCAGGCACTTCGGCTCAGTACAGACGTTCAAAAAGCCCCTGGCGGAAGCACTTTCACGTAAAGCACTTTAAGTTAGAGCATTAGTGAACCAAACAGATGTTTGATGGTGGGGAGGGGCTCAGAGCCTGGCTGCACTCCCACATGCTTCCCATGAGGCTGTCAGAGTGGCCCCTCACCCCAGTCCTAACCCCTCCCCAGCAGCTGGCATCTGTCAGCAACAGCTGGCAGAAAAGAGACACCACACCCCAGATCCCTTCTGCTGCCAGGATGCAGCTCGCAGCTGGCCAAAGGGAGGAGGCAGGGCTTGGATCAGAGGTGTCACTGACTTGGATCAGTGACAGCTGAGGGGGGCTGGTGCTCAAGCAGAGCAAATAACCTCTGCCCAAGGCTAGCGAGCAGCCTTCCACTATGCTGCCTGCAATGGCAGCAGAATGAAACCTAGCTGAACTTGTGATGGATGTGGCACAGACTTTTGAAAGTGCTCCAACAAAAAGTGCTTTAGTCTAGAACCTCATCCATCAAGAGATGACTTAGACTACCATGTGCCATTTTTCAAGTGCTCTAACAGCTGTGAATGTCTGTTCAGTTATGGCCTTAGAGCACTTTCTGTGCATTTAAGGCATGATGGGTGTAACTTATGTACCTAGCCTTTAATATCTTCACTCTGAAGTGGAGACTGTAAAGATTGGTGTGATAAAGGTGGCCATTATACTATAATATGTGGACAAGTGTTAATGCCAGGACTATCAAAGTCATCCTGATGCATCTTTAATTCAGTTTTTTTATAAATTTGGAATTACCAGAATATGAACAAAAAAGAAGAGAGAAATCAATTGCAAGGAAGCAGAAAGATGTCAATAACAGAACCCAAGCTTGTCATAAATCATCAGTTCTGGAATATTAATCTCAATATAATTTTTCATGGAATATTTACAGTTTTAGAGGAATTTCTTCTAGAATAATCTTCAAGATTAATACCCCTCTGGAAGACTCAAAGATAATGCTGTTCCAAATGCAGAAATGGCAGTTTCACTGCTTTTGACTGAAGCTGGATCTGTCTCCTCCCTGCTCATTGCGGTAGAATTTTGCAGTTGTATCAGTTCATCAACACTTAGCCTTTAAGAGACAAAAAAGTGCTTCAAAATGCTTGGTTGGAACTTCATTTCTGAGATATCTGCATGCTTTATTGACACATGAACTAATCATACTGGAGTCTACATGCCAGCTCTGTATCATAGAACCCCAACTCATTATGGGTGCTTGTACACATGACAATAGGATAAGCACTCTAGGATCCGTTTTGCTTCATAAATGGAAGTTTCTCTTTCAGTGGGGACTGATCTATTATGTTCTACAAAGTTCTCCACAAAATAAATTTCATTTTTTGAAAATTCCCTCTGTCCCAAGATGTTCCCTATTGCCTGAATGTCACATCTTTCAAAATATCCCCCATCTCCACCAGTTCCCACAGGGAGTAAAGCCAGTCAGCACCAAGGGAAGATATTGGCTCCAGGCAGCATGCGAGGCCATCTTATTCCTTAAGGAGAGCTTATTCTTTGAGGCAGCAGTCAGAGCAACAGAAGATGACAGGTCATCTCTAAGGAGCACAGTAAACTAAGATGCCAGTGAACTAAAAAAGAAATATATATATTTTACCGATGTCAAGATGAAATTAAATTTGACTGAGTATATCAGCAACATGGAAATCATTCGGTTATCCCCCCACACACGGTAAACATCCAGTGAGTATGCTCATTCCAAATTAAAACAATCTTAAGTTTAAGAGAACTGTAATAAATTTATTTATAGAAATGCAGTTAATGACTCAAGTATACATGGTTCTTTCCTATAGCAAAACTTTATGAAGAAAACACATAAAAAAAAAAATGTAATACTGTAGCAAGATCAGGCCCCGGGGTGGCCATGACACTCACTAGTAACCTTGCAACTCCTGCTCTAATTCACCTCCCTATGTCCCTTTCCTTTTCCCTCTCCTGACACACCTTGATGTAATTAGTTGGTGGATGAAAAGAGAGGCTGCCTTTGGTTTTAAGGTCTGGCTTTCTGCCAGAAGGCCCCTCTCAGACCCACAGGTCCCAATCCTGCCCCTCACATTAAGTGGGTGTTCTTGGCCCATCTGTGGCCCCAGGGAACCTGTCACTTTCAGGACTACTCGTGGTCCCTCACCTCACCTATCTAGAGTAGCTGTGCCCGTGTCTTGCAAATGTTCCCAGTCATTACTCAGGTGGGGCATTTTGCCCCTGTCCAATACCAGGCTACCGTAGGCCTCTATGCCCTTGTTGGGGCCTCAGCCTTTTTGACCTTTACTTCCTTTCCTGTCACTGGTCCCCATAACCTAGGCCCACTGTGCCAAACCTAGCTGCTGGACTCCAGCCCCCCTGTCTGGCATCTGCCCTTCTTGGGAACTGGCCCCCCTGGCCCTGTCTGGCTTCTACCATATTAGGCTTTGGCCTCTAAGCTTAAGCCACCCTCTGACTTAACCCTACTCTGTGTCCCAAGTCCTAAGCCCTTGCCTCTGGCATGGCTCAGAACACCAGTGTGCCCTTAGGGCTGATCACAATACTGCCCCCCCAGGTGTTTTGCTGTGGCTCCTCATCTTTCCTTGTCACTGCTTCCATACCACTGGTATAAAGCTCAAACAAAGCGTAAGCCCACTAGGTGTAACTAACATCCCCCATACTGGGTGTATCTACACAAGACCCTTACTGTGGAGTTGCCTAATTAGCTCCACAGAAAAGCATGACCGTCTACAGAAGCAGTGCTGTTAGGCTGGAGTAAAATAATTAACTCTGCTGTAGGATAGTACTGCCCAACACAAGTACTATTCTAGGGCAGAGTTATTTACTCCGCATGTATACACAGTGACCAGGACTGGCTGGGGCCAGGGAGTGCTACAGTGCAGCTAGCCAATAGGGTGCCCACACTGTAGGACCCTCATGCTCCAACCAGCCCCTCCACAGCAAGTTGAACTGGGCAGGAGCATCTCCAGGATGGCAGGCTGACCCCTGGAGCCCCCTGCCAGCCAGGGCTGTGCCACCTTGGCTCAACATGCTGCAGTCCCAAGCACACATGTAAACACTGTGCCCAGGAACAATACACTCTGGAGCAATGCAAACTGCACCAGAGTTTATTGTGTCATATTAATATTCCTGTGTAGACTCACCCACTCAATCCTACTTACTTGCAGTACCACGCTCCCCCTCCACACGCAGTGTCAGGCAGTCCTCCTCCTGTGGTCATCCTGATCAGGATCTCCTCTCCCTGCAGGCAGCAAAGCCAGACTGCCTCCTCTGGCTCAGGCCCTGGGTTTACATGACTCTCAAGCCCTGCTCCTTCCAGTCAGGTGACTTGCTAGCCTTGACATAGCTGTCTCTCTCTCATTCTAATGGGCAGTGTACTGTTGCTACTCTGGCTTCAATAGCCATGTCTTTTTTGTTTCAGCAAGGCTCTGCCCTATTGCACTATTGCTGGGCAGCTAACCCTGCAATAGGCACTTGCAACCTATGGGTCCCTGGTCACCTATCCCTTGCACCTAGTATATAACATACAGTCTTCCCCCCATGTACGGATATCCATGCTGCTGCCTCTGCCTTCAAGTAACAAGAGCCTCTGACTCACTGTTACAAATCTGTATTATAAGAATTCAGCCATCTGATCTGAAACTGTGCATTCATCATTATGTGTCAATAAGCTTAATTTTGAATTTTCTGGGTTTAAAGCATTTCATTTAGATTTTCATTTTCTGCATATGTACAACAAACCTGTAACATAGGTTGACCTAAATTACTCATATATACCCTTAACTTTAAATCTGCCTTAACACAGATTAATTCTGGGAATGAAAAGAGAAGGAGAAAATCTATTTCCAAAAACACTTCCTCCCAAATGAATGTTGGTTCAAATTCAAGCTACTGTAAATTGTCATAGGATCATTGACTTTAATTGAGCTAAAATCCTTCATGTAGCTTAGAAATCTGGCCCATAATATTTTGGAAGGAAACAAAGACTTTTCTACCAAATCCTCACTTGAGGGATCTTATTAATTTCTCTGTGATTGCTGCCTTCTTTCACGTTACACCAAGTAACCCAGTCTTTAGTGTCTGCATTAGAGACTAGAGGTCTTCAGGGAAAAAAAATATAATTACACAAATTCTATATTCGTGTAAACCTTTTCTCTCAGATCAGTTCAGTTTCTGAAGCAGAAAACACTGTTTATGTAATACTGATTCATACTAAGTATACTTAATATAACATTAGAGAATAGGATTCTTGGAGATACCTCAGGGATCTCTCAGGCTTAAAGATACAACCTAAAGGCAGTTCACTGGAGACCAGAAAGTTGGGTGGTTAATAACAGAGGAGGATCTTAATAGCCTCCCGCAGTTTGTTTTTTCTACCAAAGAGGATGACCTAAACTTTTAAAAAGCAACTTATTCTACCAGTATTTGATCTAACAAGAAATGAAATATGTATGATCCGTCATCAGAAAGGCAGTTGTCATAGACCTAGATCCACAAAAGACTTAGTTGCTTAAATTAAAACAAAGGAGGAAGTTTTAGGCAACAAAATACAACTGTAGATACTGAAATTCACTCTTCACCTGTTGCCCAAATGTGGAGGCAGCTGAAGTCCAAATGCACCAAAAAATTTTACATTAAGATTCCCCAATAAATAAAAGGTATTCTTCTCTCTCTCCCCTTCTCCCTCCTTCTCTTAGTACGGGCTAGAGAAAATGTACATGGTCTCAAAGAAGTACAAGTCCACCACACCAAAGAAGGTTTTGAGGGCAGCAAAGAGTGGCTGCAGCTGGAGGCAAACCAAGAAAGCATGAGAGTCTCCTCCATCTTCTCTGCACAGAAGTGCAGGCTGCCAATGCCACTGCCTCTCAATGATGGACAAAAGTGCTCATGGCCAGAGCCCTGTACAGTAGCTCCCACTGGAGATTGCTGGTTTTCTTGGCAATGGGCAGTTTGTACAGGGTGCATCAGCTGGGGTGAGCTTGCTACCACAAAGCACCTCTTCCAGGAGGTGTCAGAATAGACGCTGACGACATGGACATGACATATTTTTACTGTCCACGTGCACTGTGCCTTCCCACACCAGATTTCAAAGAAAAGATCTCTATCCTACACAGAACAGCCAAAAGCCTGACCACGTACAGACCAAAAAAATGGATTGCATAAATCATGAAATCAGCCAATAAAAATTATATTAGAGATTTAAAGGCTTTTTGAAAAGACTTGTCATCTGTTTCAGAGCTTTTGTGGCCACCTGAGCATTGTTCCAAATGTGTACAATATACTTTATGATACAAAGAAAATAATCAGTCCTGCTCCCATTTAAGCAAGAAGCAACACTCCACTGATT